TGCTGGACTGAGCCACTATTCATACTAAATATTTCCTCCTAAAGTGGCCCTAACTCAGACTTCAGTCATATCTGAAGTCACATTTTGTATCCATAGCCTGCAGCAGAATATCCTGTCAAAGCTGGTTTTGTAACAAACTGAAAGAAGCCCCTTACTTTCCACTTAAAGTGTAATGAGCAGATTCTATTTTGACTTTAGAAAGAAGAAAGCTTAGTACTCTTGAGAATGGAGCCCAACAGCCTTCATCAGATGTAGTGTACAACTGGAGGGCCCAACGCTTGTCCTGTATAAATATTGATATGGCCTATTTTAAGTATAGTTATGCACACTATATGTAACTCAGTTTGTCAACTCATAAAGTTTACACAATTTTTATATGGATATGCACCTGGATTTAGAACATCTAAAAATACCTAAAACCAAAACCAGGCCTAGGTCACAGGACACACAGCTAATGCACAGAAGATGGAAGTGGCAAAATTTGCTTTTGCACATTTGTATACGTAAAGTGAGCAAAATTATGTTTAAAATATTTAATGTAATGAAAATCAATAGTTGATGGTTAGGCTTTGTAACAAAACATACAAAAAAACTCATCTCAAAACTAGATTTTAATAATAAGCAACTGTTGTGATATTTGCAGTTGTAACCTTGCAGGGTGACTTCGTGGATTTCATGGCATTTGCAAAATGTCTAAGCTCAGACAGCAAACACATAAAAACATCCAGAACAGCTGCAGTCTGGGTCACAAGCAAGGAGGCCCTTTGTCAAGCTCTACAGGTAGGGTTGGCTCCCCCAGGAACTCTGTGGAAAACCCACTGACATGTTCTTACTAGAGTCTTCTTCACAGCCAGCTGGTCCACCATGACTGTGAAGAGGACCAACAACAACAGAGCCCACTAGCTTAGATCCAGACAGATCTGGTAATCGAATGAAAGCAGGATCCATTCACTACAGTATCTGCTTAGACACTTACTCCGCATAGAATTTAAATACTTAAGTACTTGTAGCCAATTAGTTTTATAACAGGAAATAGAAAAATACTCTTAAGTGCTCTTTGAAGTATTATTGGACATAAATAGATACATAGAGGCTAGTCATGTAATGAAATGCTGCGATGAATCAGAGGACCAATGTATATATATTTTTATACGTAAAGTCTGCATCACATTAAAATCCTTACATTTATTTCCATCTGCTTTTCTAACACTGATCAATTTTCAAGATAAATGGCAGTATTTCCAAAATTTTTATTTAAAATGCTGTCAAACGCTATTTCAGAATTCAATGAGAATTACAAAGTTAAAGACTTCACGAGAAGGGAAAGGAAAGCCTAAATTATTGTAACTTGTGCTTTTAAATTTATCATTCAAGGTCAACTTACAAAGTTGAGCATGTGAAAGTTTACGTGTAAGCAGCAGTGACACATTTGTAGGCAAATGTGAGGACACATTTGACTGTGTATTTAAACAAATAGTTGGCAACATTTGTTTGCAAAGTTTCTGAGAGAAAAACCCAGACTGTCTTAAAATTACATTTTGAGGTGAATTTGACAGGAGGTGAGGATCTCACTAAGGTCTCTACATCAGAGGACACTTCACCACTAACGAAATCAATGCCATCAAAAGAGGCACAATTACCTAGTGTGCATCCTGTCATACAAGAATAGCACTTATATTCATATTTCTTATTCCCACAGGGGAAACAGAACAAGTGTAAAAATCATTCTAATAAATAACATACTATACTGGTAAAACTCATACCACAAGTCAGTGTAGAGCAGGGATTATACAATGATGTTTTCATAAAGCCTTCTCATTCAACTATGCTTTGTTATCAAGAGCATATTGAAATACATACCAATATTTTTACATGGTAATGTATTTTAAAATGTCACTTATTCTTGAAATCTTATCAACACAGGTCAATTTAAGGAATAGCCATGGAAGAGTAAGTTTCCTGAATAAGAAGGGCATATCTAACTGTAAAGCTAACAAAGCCTTCCCAAATACAACAGTAGTATCATTTAAATATATATTTCTTCCATTAATACAGAATCATAAAGGTTAAAAAAGGTTAAGCAAGCAAATAGTTACTATCAAGGTGACTACATTTACTAACCAACATAAACTCATTAAGTGCCCGAATTAATTGCTTACAACAGGCAAATATCTGCAAAGCACCATAAAATTATGAGTATGTCATGTTTACTCTTCATAGTGTGCTCATCTCCAATACAAAAAAACTCTTCTACCTTTTGGATATACATTAGTTAGTAAGTGGAACAATACTTGAACCTGTGTTTCCTTCATGCCCGAAACACTTCTAGGAAATTCACTTTCTACTATTTTTCTCAACAAGAGTAACAGCAAATCATCACCATCCTTTCAAATTCAGTATTATAAAATTAGGTGTGTAAGATCTATATATTACTATCGGGGCTGGCTGCTCTTGATGTTCTGACTGAATGGATGAAAAGGATGCCGTGTGATAGCAAGGTGGAGAACTGGTAGAGCAGTAGGAAAGCAACAACAAAACCCCAGTTTGACTAAAATCAGAGTGCTGCTGTTACAACAAAAAAACCTCTTTCCATAGTCCCCAAGATAATTCATTTGTAGGAAGAGCAGATTTTCTTCAAAATACTTTTATCTTCAGCAATTACATTTAAAAGGCAAATTCTAGGACTCTATACTTAAATTCTGTGCAGAAGTAATTATTTGTCATAATTATCTTGTGTTACAATTATTTAAGGGGTTCAGATCATGAAGAAAAAAGTAATTGCATTGCACAGACACCAGTCACATCCAATTTTGAAACCCATCTTGCCACTTATGCCTGACTACAGCATATACTTATTTTCTTAGCTGTTTTAACTTCTCTATGTACAAAAGTCCTGAACAAAACTACCTGTGAATTCATTCACACTGAAGTACCAGCCTTTGTTATCCTAAACCTGCTTATTTTCTGGGAGAGCTTACAACTGTTTTCATATTTTTTCATGAAGAAATAATAAGCCTCCATCACATTTATGGGCACACATGCCAAAACCAGAACATTATTGGGAAATGGCACATTAGATTTTGTACTGGCATCCAAAAGTGCTTGATTAGGTTTGGTGCAATCTCAAGTTCAACAGCAACAAATGCTGAAAGAATCAACCCTAACTCTATTCACCCACCCAGAAATGTGCAATTCTATTTGATATTCTATTTAAGTGTCCCCCAAGAACAGAAAGTAGAAAAATGTCTTTCCTGATTCTGTATCTAATAAAAAATAATCAAACACAGAGAAACTAATGTGCCCTTACTTACACAAAACAGAAAAAAACGTAATAACATTTTGAAGAGGCATATGACAACCACAACCCCATGTAGGGGAAATCTACTTGGGCAATAAAAGTATGGATTTAGAAACTCAGATTATTTTATCTTAAAGAGGATACAGCTGTCATTGAAACAATGAACATCCCTGCTCATCTAAACAGACTCATCTACTCACATTGGATATTTAGTTCCCTCTTTCTAACTGTGTAGGTTAATTAGTGCTAACCTGTGTATACAGAAAAGGTACATTATCCTCTGGGAATTTTAGGCAAGGAGTCAAAGGCCAGACATAGAACTATCACAGGAAGAAAACAACTCTGATCTGACTTAGAATCTGGTCCTTCAGGGAGTAAGCCAGAAGTATGGTGACTATTTTTGCATGGTAGTATCCCCGCAAAGCTGAGGACTATCACTGCAGTTCTGGTACTTGGAATATTCACCCCACTAGTGCCATATATCTGATCAAAAACTTAAAGTTCAAAATATTATGACAATTTTTTTTTTTTAATTCATTTGTAGGTTATTAATAAAGAAGCTGCATTATTTTTCTCCAGTAGTATTTTGTGGCAGTTTTAAAGTTAAAAAAACAAAACAAAACATAAAAAAACAAAAAAACATGTGGATAAACAGCTTGTGTTTACTTTAAAAAAATTATAAGAAAATACAGAATATAAGCAATTAAAATGTAGCCCTTTAACAGTAGTACTCTAACAGGGACCATCATAACAAAAAATGGTCTGGGATAGATATAATCACTGCATTATTCCCTTGACACCCTTCCATAATTCAGTCAGTCAGAAGGATTTCTTTCTTTCATTATGTTACCCACAAATATGATGTGAATTTTGCATCTAAAATTCTAATTTAAAGAAAAAGCTTTTCTTCAGATTCGTGTACTCCTTTGGATAAAAGGACATCAATTATCAAGCATACAGAAAATTGTTATGGCAGTAATTTCATGTTTGACTACCTGTGCACTGGAGCTCAAGGTAATGTTTTGCTGTTTTATACTGAAAGCATCGTCAACTAACTACTGTATGCCTGAAAATTCAAAACAATTTTAAGCATTAATAATTTTTTGGAAAAGAGTTCTATTCTAAACCAATTATTTCTGGTATTTAAGGGTAAAAATGCACTTCCATTGAAATCCTGATGCTTTCACATTGTCTTCTGTGTCCTACAGCTGCCATTCCTTCTCTAGCCACAAAGCCCACCTGGCAGTGTTGGGTTTTTTTATTGTTTTTAGGTACTTCAAAGAAAACAGAAACCTAGATTAGCTACCAAGCCCTGGAAAAGGTGAACCTTCTGGTGTTGTGTGGGTTTTTTGTGTTTATTTATTTATTTAATCCATTCAGAAGGGCTATGTGTAGTTATACTCTTTATCAAAGAAACTATAGTTTGGCATCAGTAATGCTTACAGTTCCATAATGTACTGTAGTAGTTTGAGATACTTCAAGAAAACCCTCCAGATACTGAGAGGCTTATTGCAATGCCCTTTTAAAAATTCAAAAGCCTTCTAGTGACTTTCCATTTCCTACATTGAGCTTCTTTATAGCATATGGTATTATATATTTGAAATACACTTTCCACATAAAATCAAACTTGAAAATACCCACTTAGAAACAGTATTTCAGTAAATAGAGGGTTTAAGGCAAGTCATTAGTTTGGAAAAATTCTTTTCCATTTGTTAATCCTAGATTGACACAATTTCATTCCACCCCATCAGTGCCTTGGGATACACAACGTACATTCAGCAAAGGGCACACATAGGACCCTGTGGACATACGTTGCAAGTCCTGAGTGCCCATTGAAATAATGGTAATTTCTTCATATAAGGCGTGACCCACAGGGACATGGCATGGGAGGGGTTAATTTGTTTTGTTTCCAGTCTTGCTATTGTATGTGGTTTTCCTAGGTAATGCATTCTTTTCTTACTAAACATCTTTGCAAACAAATACAAACCCCTTGAAAAGGTGCTAAAAATGGGTTTCCGAAAACATACAAAATATATTCATCATAGTATTTCCTCAATCACTGTTTTAACGCTTGATATCTGCAGGTTATTTCTTGTTTCTGACTGAAACTATTATTTGTTGTGGAATAACTGTTCTTTTGCAAAAGATTTTCTTCTTCTAATTTTTTGGACCACATGGGCTGGATGCTTTCATGCTTTTTACTTCCTTTTTGAGTTCTTTTCAGTGGAAATACCAACAAGACCAGGATGCTGGCAATATGAAGACAGAAATAGCAGGAGCTAAAAAACAAACAAAAATAATAATTCAGTGTTACTCTGACCACTCTTAGAGCATGCTTAAGGAATAAGCTGTCAAAACATACTGGTAGGCAGTACTTTGTATAGAAGATATTTAAATAAGGAAGACATTAACATATCCCTTTTAACAAAAGTAGTAAGGGGGAAAATGGAAACGAAGTCTTCCCCCACAGTACTTGGTGCTGTAACAGAGATGTAAACTGAAGACAAGTCTGCTTTCAACTATTTTTCATAAAAGTTACTTTTGGAAAGACATTTTCTTATCTTGCTATAAAATACTTCAAGTGCATTTAGTGATTTCAAGTGCACCCTCTGGTTTTGTTTTTGGTTGCTTTTTTTTGTTTTTCCTTGCCCCAGGAAAGAGAAGTCTATTATGATAGGAAAACAAGATCACTAAGATTTCTCAAACGCAACACAAACTATGTTTGAGCACTAGAACAGAAATACAGTTTGCTCAGCTAACAAATCTCACAATTATCATAGATAAACCTTCAGAAACCTTAAGCCACAGAAATTACTTCTCCTCCAAGTAAAGAAAGAAAAAGGGAACAAGTAGAATGTGCTTACCTGTAAAAGGTGAAAGAGGGTTTTACAGAGAGCAGTACAAATGGCACAACTGTGTAACTTATTGCTACTTGAGTTGCCATCCATGTTATAATATCATAACATAGTTTAACAGCAGGAGATTCAACAAAATAGTGTCTGATATTGTTTCTTATCTGAAAAATCCAGTAGTAGTAAGTTAGTTTAAAAATAAACTTTAAGAGTTATTTTATTGTACACCCTTTGTTGCACTACCATGTAATTCATAAGATTAATTTAAATGCTACAGTGAGCACTCTGGTAGACTGGACTCACCTTGCAGAGAGAACACAACAACTTTTACCTGTGAACTGTCCCTGAACCTTGGCTTTTGCACCAGTCCCTGGCTGATTAATGTCAAAAGTTCACAGTGACAAAGTCTGGAAAGGAGAGGAAGCTATATCTATTGTAAAGAAAGGTGTCAGTTCTGTCAAACAAGGACTATACCCACATCTTTGTGAAGACGGAGAAGGAGCATCTGTTTTATTACTGTTAATAACAATCTAAATCTGAAGTACCACCTTCCCCTAACTATTATAGCAAAAAAAGAGCAATCTGCTTCATTTCTCATTCTCGTTTCTTTTGACAGAAAAGCAGTCTGTTATTCTGCTCTGAGCTGACAGCTAATTTTGTTTGTTCCTCTTTCCCCTTGAGTAACTGATAAACCTGCCTCTGTTCTTACTCAAGCAGGACTGAGAGATTTCTTGGCAGGTTTGCTGGTTCCATATGGAGCTGAATAGCAGCTGTAAAAGCTTGTTAATGTGACTGCACTGCTGGTTAGCCAACTTTGAGTAGAAATAGAAATGTTTATCTGCTGGTCAAGGGGGAACATTCTTTAGGTACCATCTTTACAATAGTACTGGGCAGATATTTGGGAGCAGGACAGACTCAAATAAATAGCACTGACCTCCAAATTTTAAACTACTGATAATGAGTGATAAAGTTTTTCAAAATTATCTTAGATGACAACATCTTGTTTACCATGGCATAATAATATACATGATCAGTTAATGCAGAGAAAACACATCCACAAAAGATATGCTACAAAGATGTAAAAGGCTGTGCATAGTTATGCTTGTTTCTACAGCCACACTACTCTCATAAGTAAAAATGTACAAAACTATCAAATAGATTGTTTATTAACTGTCAATTGCATCTTTGCACTACAGAACATAGTTTTCCTTTACAGAACTACTTATTATTTAAGAAGGTACTTGGTTGGTACTTACAGCTCGTGCTGCTAGTGTCATTAGTACTCCTGTTAAAAATGTTAAATAATATCCTGGGTAAACCCCATGCCAAATGGCAGAGAGGATGAAGGTTTGGATCGTAGGGCTGAAGGTGGCTCGCTCATAGCACACTCTAGCAAGTCAAAGACAATTAAAGATAAGCAACATGAGACACAGCTCACCAACAATATTCACAGTTATCATTTATACTTTTAATAGTTTCATCTCCAATACATCATTTGCAAAGCAACTGCGGTTTACAATTATTGAATAATGTTGCCTCTATATTATGCCTTCCAGAAAATAAAGCTATTCACAGCTCCTGATTTAACCCCTCATTGCTAACCTATGCTCAGTGCCCTCACACATGGTACTTATTTATAGTGACGTGATACAGAAGTGTCCAAAAAAGGGTGTTGGTGTTAATAATGCATCTTGAGCCATCCAAGAATGTGTTTGAAAAGCTACACTGGAAGGCACAAACTCTTGCAATGAGACAGATATGTATTTTTCATAAAATGAACACAGCTTATAGGAGAAGAGGAAAAGTAGTAACTAACTTCAGTTTTGAGTAATAGAGAGACTACAGTTGAAAATGTGTCTGTGTATGGCAATTAGGTGAGCATGATGATGAAATTATAATTAATGACCCTAGGGATGTGAAAATATCAAATAAGGAGAGTGCTGAAATCTGCTATTTAAAAAATTGAGACCCTGAATTATTAGGCAAGGTCCTATACTACAGAATCCTAGAAGGAAGAAGGGAAACAGGAATCCAAGAAAAGTACTTTCCAGATAACATTAAATGACACAATGACAAACCATCATGATGTGGAAGAATGATAGGAAACATGGTAAGGTCCTGATATGGCTTCATCAAGAGTTCTTTAATGATCTGAAAACCAAAAAGCAATAGGAAATATGGAAACAGATACACACTAACGTGAAGCCAAAATAAACAGCACAAGCATGCATGAACACAAATCTAAGGCTAACATACAAGAGTGAGTTTCAACTGAAAAAAAGCCATAGACACCAATATGTAAAAAGGTTTTATAAACACATCGGAAGTAACAGAGAGAGATAGAAGAATGCACATCTACTAGTCAAAGAGGAAGACAAGCTAATGATGGGGGGGCAGGCAAACCATTCATTGGTAATGTTAACTACTACAACTTCTGTATATAAAATAGATAGCTGAGACCAAATCTTACAGCCAGTGTTAAAGAGCAGAAGGTAAAAAGGCAGGATCTGAATAGAGAGAGAGAAAAAATGCATTTTGCTAAATTTAGTTTATTCCAGTCAAAAGGGTGTGGTAAGTTTCATCTTATGAGGTCCCCAGTGCAGGGTAGCAGCAGAGCCCCCTCCCCTTACCAAAGGGCTTCCCTAAGAATGCCCATTCAGATAAGAACATGGACCTAGGTAGGGCACAGGTGTGTGTATGCATGATACACAAGACTATCTGAGGACATCTGCCCACAATAGATCACCTTAAAGAGGAAAGCAATGTTGGCCTGACTAAACAATAACTAGGAATTTCAAAGAGACTTTTGAAACAAAGGCATCAGCCTAGAAAGTGGAAAAGCACTAGAAAAAAATGTAGCACTTCAGGGTGATGCCTCAGAGCAAAAAACTAGTCATCAAAACCTTGTTTGACATTGCCAGATGCCACTTCACCAACAGAGAGCGTCCTTCCTGGTAGATACCAAGCAGCCTGCATCCAGCTAGGGGGCTGTCCCAGCAGGATGTCATGCACAGGGAGCAGTAACTCATCCCTACCAGCTGCAAGCACGTGAACCTGAGGCACACTCTCCTAACCCCCATGTGAATCAGCAGGCCCATGCAGGGCTGGAGCCCACCTCTCCCACAGGCAGCTCACAAAGCAGAGAGGGCCCAGGCTTCCAGAGGAAGGTGTGGTTTTGTAACCCACATGTTCCTGGGAGGGGAGATGTAGTTTGCACATGTGTTTCTTTTAGACTCTTAGGGATTAGTTACAGAATAGTGTTTAGAAATTTGTTTATTAAGCCACAACACTAAGCACTTACAAAACATAATTACTCTGAATGAGTATTTCACTGACTGGTGGCTAATTATGTCTTGTTAATAAATTGATAAATGGCTTCAATCTTTCCTTGTTTTAAACTACTTTAAGCAGATTTTGTCCTGCAAAGCATTCAGGAATTAACAAAACCTAAATTAACTAATGAAATTTCAGCTATATCAATGCAAGTCAGGTAAGATACATAGTAGAAAAAAAATGAGGCTACAGTTTCATGGAGTTAAAAGCAAGCTTAAAAATTCCTTGATGGATTTGTCAATAATAAATAATGTTGAAATGCTTCACTTGACATTCCTAACAGGAAACCAAGGAAATATGGACAACACCTATTCAAATATGGGTGGTTCAGGTTATCTATGAGTTGGTCTAGAAGTGGGAAGATGCATCAGTTGTTCAGCAACGTACTCCTCTTGATCTCGTTCTATACTTTCATTACTAGCTTGGTAGCCTGGGTGGTAGACTGAGAAGTGTGTATTTCCACCTTCCCTTCCCTTTTTTTTGGGGGGGGGAAGGAATGAAGGAGATTCGTGTTGTCTTCTTAACAGATAGAGCACTAGAATCCAAAATTATCTTGTCTGACTTGAATGATATTCTGACATCAACCAGATGAAGTCCAAAGTCTAGAACATTTAAGAAGAAATTGGAATACAGAAAACAGTACCCATCCATTTAACATTACTGAAAAAGTATAGCTGAGCATGAATATGAAACAACAGTATGAAACACTCAGTATCAGCTGAGCATGAATCAACACTAGATCGCTGCTGCAGAAATAGACAGATATAATACTGTGATCCTAAAGGAAAAAAAAAAAAAAAGGGGGGATGATATTCTGACATCAACCAGATGAAGTCCAAAGTCTAGAACATTTAAGAAGAAATTGGAATACAGAAAACAGTACCCATCCATTTAACATTACTGAAAAAGTATAGCTGAGCATGAATATGAAACAACAGTATGAAACACTCAGTATCAGCTGAGCATGAATCAACACTAGATCGCTGCTGCAGAAATAGACAGATATAAATGGGTAAAAAAAAAAAAAAAAAAAAAAAAAAGGGGGGGGGGTGTAATTAATCCACTCAAAGCATTCAAGTCTGACTGTAACAAGCCAGGGAAAGACCTCGAAGGTCTTAGCAGAAGTTCTACATCAACTGTAGAACAACACAAAGTTTGGGAAGAAGTCAGAAGACAGCAGCAAGAACCACAGAGGTTTTGCAAACATGACCAAAGATAAAAGGAATTAGATGTTTCCTTTGGAAAAAAACAGTGAACAGGCTGAAGGGGAACTTAACAGCTTCCTCAGTCACAAAACTTGACAAATATTGTTGATATATCCTACTATAAAAATATATATTTTAACTCGTATGCTTGTAACGAGAATTCCTTTGAGCTACTGTATTTTGTGATCCACATTAAACATTTATTAAGCTTTTTTATGATCTATAGATGGATAATTGTTTTATTACAAAGTGTTTGTTTTTACACACAATCAGGGTCTAAGTTCAGTTCCTCTTCCAATAGCAACAGAAGAGAGCAGAATGAATGCTGATTTCTGCTATCTGTGCACTTCATGAAAGATAAATGTCTCATATCTTAGATACTTCCATAAATAATAAACACGTGAGGTATTAAAAGTGGATGTTTAAAGTACTACATGAGCTTGTTCTCTATTCAAACACTGCAACTAATCAAATTATCAGTAATATAATACATAGTCTGGACCAATATTTATGCCTCATATGTAATAATTAAAACAATCTCTCACTCAGAACAAATCTTTAAGAAAATATCCACCCAACTCCCTTTCACTGTGGCAGAATCTATATGCATTTAGAGTACCCTCAAAGATTCTTCTACAACTGTTCTTAAGTTAAGAGCAATAAATTGCTCTTAAGTTGAGCTTAATTGTTCTTAAAATTAAATGAGATGCTGTAAGTTTTCTTCACATCTGAACAATTGACTTGCATTTTTAAATTTCAGTTCCTAACAGAAGTCATAGTCATCTCCAGTAAAAGGAGTTTTAGTCTAACACCGTTCAATTTAGGAGCTTTGAAAACTTGCTGGAACACAACATTCTCTTTTTAAAGTTTTTATACTGACAAAGCACTGTTGTCTAACTAAATTAAAATACATTTTAAATTAGCTTATTGCTTTATTAAATTATACATTTCAATACCTGTAAACATGCAATTCTTCCTTAGTGGGTGTCCTAGCCATAGATTTTATTGCCTATTAAGCCAACCAAACTAATCACATAAATTTCAATTTCTATTTTTAATCGGGTTAGAAAAATATTTAGGGAAGAAATTAAGGAAGAAAGAGAATATAGTATACAGAAATTTGATGGAAGCAACATCCTGTTGCCAGCCATCTTAGAATAAAGATCAACTACGCAGAGACTGAGAGAGGGGAAACAACATTCATGTACTACTCAAGAACACTTTTTACTCTCTAGTACTACAAAAAAGTAGTAAAAGCACTACACCCATTTCCCAGATAAGGAAAAAAGTGTTTTTTTTTTCTTTTTTGATAACAAATTGTAGGGTTTGCTATTTGCCACACACTCATTAAGCAAGGAGTGCATGAAGTTCTCTCACAGAATGTATGGAAGTTTCTGTATCAATTTGTGGCTAAAAAAAATCCAAAAAAACCACAAAAAAATTAAAATCCACAGCCAAATGTGTATCTTGCCTACTGCTCTTCTCAACATGCACTGCTTTGAATACCAAGAGAGGAAAAAAATAAACCCATCCACAGATTAATACTTTAATGTTCCCTATGACCAGTGAAGAACAGTTTCTATCACTACCTGACACTACACTAAGAAAGAAGTGCTACATTCAGAGGCTTTAATTCAACACAAATGTTCCATGCAGTTGCTAAACAACCGTACCATTTTGTGGGGTTTAGCTTTAAATGTTATGTTATCTTCAAAGACATATTCAGCTAAGAAACTTCATTAGAGAAAAGCTTTCCTTTAGGAAAGAAATACCTTTTAAGCCAAAGCGCTGTTTGGATATTCCAGTTATCAAGAAACATCTTGAAACTTGTAGAAAACTGTGAAGTAAAAACAAATTAGTTACTTCCAGAATTATAAAATGTTACAAAATATTTCAGAATTATGACATTTAAGCCGTGAAAAAACACCCTACTTTGTGATGAGGTGAATAATGTATTTACTCAACTACTTATCACCACAAAATATTTTGGATCTCAACTGACAAGTAGAACATACTCAAAACAGACTATCTTCCATCCTTTCCTAAGGGTGTGAACATGTAATTTCTGACTTACAACATATTATTCACTATCCTGATGGACAAAATGCTTCAGAAAAGTTACTGAATTTACAAGCAACTACTTACGTGGCCATGTATTTTATTTGAAAGAACCATGAACAAACCTCTATTTGCTGGATCCTCAGATTTGATATTAGATCCCAGTGTGTAACTCCATTTTTATCATAGCCTCTAAAACCAAAACCTGCTGCATTATTAATTGCATCTGCTGCAATGAAACAAAAAGAATCAAGTGAATTACAACCTGCCTGTATTACAAATTGTACATCACACAACATGTAGTTTGTTCAAAATATTTATCACATTTTTCACAGCCATATATTTTTAAATACTGAGGATCCCTGTATTAAGACACTTGAACAAACAAAAAATAATCCAAGCAACACACCAGTTTCCAATTAAAAACTGTTACTAAAGCGAAAGAATGAAAGGCAGCACTATGGACTTCACAGTACAGATGTCCTCCCTTCCTCATACCATCTACTTAGACTTGCTCGAGCAATTTGACAGAAAAATAATCTCAATTATATGCATCAAGACCATGAAACAGTGGCTGGTTGTAATGATTTGTGACAGCAGCACAACATGAAGATGCTTGTCTCTGGTCTTCATTATGCAGCAACAGTGACGTTTAAAGCATACAAATAAAACTGCACAATTCACTTCCAGCAGGTGCATATTTACAGCACCACACAGAGCAGTGCAACCCTAGCAGAATATAACAGTCATGTACTAAGCAATTCAGAGTTTGTCAGATTTCCACTAATGGCACTTGGCCATTGTTAACAACACTTCTGAATGCCACGTGTTGTCAAAGGTCAAATAATTCCCAAGGAGAAAAAGCTGCTACCGTCACCTGGACTATGCAGGACAAGACAAGTCATCACCTTTTGCTTAGCTTTGTTAGCCCTGACACTAAAAATTCCTCAGTGGTACTTCTCAAATTTGGATGGCCATGGAAAGGAAACAAGGTTTTTTTCCAAATACTGCCTCTCTTGAGCCAGGTGCTTGCTTGCACAGATGTACATCCATGAGATATGAATCAAAACATGTATCCACTTATGTGGATAAATAAGCGACTATGGGCTCCTCTCTCAGTTCAGAGGAGTCCTGAGAAATTTGATGCAAGGTAGGCAAAAGGCTCTGCAGAAGCAACGCAGACCTCATGCCTTAGTTACAGGGCATGAGCCTTCTGTTAGCTCTGTATTCATATAAAACACTAATTAGATGGTCATGTTTTAAATCACAGTTAGAAAGGCAAGCTCATTTGCTCAGCTTGTATTACAATATTAAACAAAATTTATTTTCTACAGTAGTAACATGTAAGAGAGATTAATCTCGTTTTTATTTTCCTTTCTACTTAACAACTTTCACAAGGTATTAATCCAGTGTATTTTTAAACTAAAAGAAACTACTGACTGAATGAGTTCTGTTCTAGAAATCCAGTTTCGCCAGTTATCTACCAGTCTGGAAGATACTCATCAATGATAATTTTAGCTTTGAAGGCAACAAAATTCACTGCTACACATCTGGTATCACTGATGCCAGCTTCAAACATTAGACAATGATTTAATGCTCAATTAGAAATGGCTGAAAGCATGAATTCTACAATCTCTTGCTAGCCAGAGTACAAAGACTATGGCTAGAGTAAGTACTCATTTTATCAACTTGCATTGTATTAAGTGTTCATTTTCATTTTTTTCTGAAGTGCAAAGAACAGTAATGTACAACTCAAAATCATACCATCCAGTAAAACTGTTAAGGATCCTTCACATTCTATTTATACTGTTAGGTTAGATGAAATAAAGTGGAACAAAGATTAAAAAAAAGCTATTTAGCAAACTGAAAGTACAGAATTGATATAACTTATTTTATTCAGTATTTTACCAAAGGAATGCTAGCTCTACACTGCTAGCAAGTGCATCAGGAGAAATCTATCTGAAGTATTACAGGGAAAAAAACAACAAAGATTATTAATTTTTTAGATGACTCCTACTCCTTGCAGATTATGATACTGGAGCATAAGAGAAAATTCAAAATTATTTCATTCCACAACAAGATCCAGAATTACTATATCCAGACAAGCTGAAAGCACTTCATTCATTGACCAGGAATGAAACCAGCAGCTGTAAATGAGTCATGCTGTTCTGCCACACTAAAGCTTTCTTTATTGCATTGTTTCCCACAGATTCCCTCTCAAAAGAATTATGAAACAAATATGTAAAACTGGAGAGGAGGAGGAAGCTGATGAAACCTGTTTTATGAGCCATTTTCAAGATGTCAGCTTATATAAATAGAGCATTTTGCTGTTGTATGTGTTGTTTTTTTCAAACATTATTAAGTCAAAGGCAAAACCTTCTTTAAACTGCATCACCTATTCAGCGTGTCTTAAATCAGTGATTGTGGGTCTTATATCATCAGTTATTACAACTTTTAGTAAATAAAGACTAAAACTGAAGTGTCACACATCAAATCCTGAAAACACTACAGTGAATGCCACCCACTGTTAACAGCACTGTATCTGAATTTCAATATATTAATTTTTCCATCATACTTGAATAACATCAAGCAAATTAGTGATAACTCACCACAGAAGGAGGCTTAGAATAACTTTTCAGATATGAAAAAAATCAAGGTATCAAAAAAATAAAAATCAAAATCAGAGATTGTACATTAGACTTCAATTTTTAAAAACCAAAGTCAGTGCTCATAGAAACACTACCACTCTCCAAAAAACTTACGTTTCACTCAAAAGCCCACCATCTCATTTGCAACACTGTCACAACATTGTGTTTAGATTTATGGTAAGATTTGTTACTCAGAGACACCAATCAATACACTTTAACAACACCTCAAAATACTTCAATGTAATTATGTTTTCCTAAGGCCTCAAGAGGGCACTGTCACTTTTTAATACATAGTGTGCAGCATCCAAAATGAAACTCAATACCTACACTTTCTTTTATCTATTTTTTTTTAATGTGTATATACGTACCCAGAGTCCATGCAAAATAATACTTGGGTCTGGCAGCCATAAGAGACACGTATAGGTAGAAAAACCGTACAGGCCATGATGCTGTAGCTCTGAAGTTGTCATCAATGTTGTATTCCACAGGCAAAGTTTTTGTAATAGTCATGTGGAAGAGTAAGGACAGTCCACAGATTAAAAGTTTCTGTGCCACAGCTATCTGAAAAGTTTAAAATGGAAGACTTTGTAAGCTTCATTTGTTGTTAATCTTCTGGAAACAAAAGCAAGTTATAATCTTCCTTCCCTAAGCATGTCACACAGCATACACGTCACCTTTTCAGTAACATATACTACAAACTTTAAAGTAATACGTAACATTTTAAGAAGGTTGAAGGAATATTATCTGTATTAAGCTGTGAGCACCTCTTCTTGTGGCAAACAGAGCAAATCCAATCTGACTACAGTGAGCCTCCAAAAACCCTCTTGATAATGGGAACACCTTCTGCAACTCCAGTTTTTTTCTTATTCCATTGCCAAATTACTGAAGCAGGTAAGATGTTAAGACATCACAGTATAAAGCATAAAATCTTGGACAAGGTAAGTACAGTACAGAGATTCCAAAAACAATGGCAAAGCTTCCATTAATGTTCAGTAATCTTTGGTATAATGCAGGTGTTAAATTGATGCCCAACTCAATATATCAATCATCTCTATTAGATTACTGAAATACCTAAATTCTAAACCAACTAAAATACTGAAATATTTTTTTAATTTTCAGCCCAAATACCTCAGTTCTATATAGACCTGTTTTCCAACTAGAGTGATCAAGCTGTAAGGGGTCAAATAATATGCTCACAGACATGTAAAAATACGTTGTTCGGGTATGAACTGGACTCAGATTTTGTAAAAATTCAGTGTTACTACAACTACCATAGTAAGGAGTATGTATTTTTAAGAAAACATTTCCAAGGTTCCATTACAAAACATAGAGAGCAATAATGCATGACATCCACTGCTTTAAGTCTCTGGTCTAATCCACATCCTAAGGGCAGTTACCACGTTCTGTGCAGTTTCCTGAAGTAACACACGTATCTGTGCAACTTCCTGAAGTAACACACTAACTAAGCACCTACAAAAGAGAAGTTTGAAATCTAGTTCATTTATATGTAATTTTCAAGTTCTGATTGTAAGTAATCTCAATATTTAAATTTAAACATTACTGTTTTAATTTACATTACAATTTTACAGACACTAAACTTGGCAAAAACACAACAGATCTAACTATTTTTCTTTGAAGCATCAGAACAAAAAGATAACCTGAATCCTTTTTCTGTCCATCCTGCTTCCAGTATACCTGCCCAAAGTTTTAATGGTAACGTCCTGCTTCAATTAAGACTGCAGCTTCACATAAATAAAGAGTAATCCTGTTCCACAGTACAGAATGGAGCTTTAAGTGCCCCAACTGAAAACACAGATTTCTTCCAGACACACAGGGTACCAAAGATTCACCCAGTCACATAGATGCAAGAAGTGGTACAACCTTACAAAACATTTGAATTGGAAAAGCTGTAAAACTGTAATGGTAGCTTTCAATACTGCTATTTTTCATGTGGCTTATCTCAGAAGGTACTTCAGAGAGGATCAGAAAACGCAGCTAATTAAACAAACCACCCGGATAACTCAGGAAGCAACTATCTATTAACAGCTAAAGCTAATGTTTAATTATTTCTTTTTACTTGCTTTCTATTAAACTTCATTTTAGTATTTTGCTCTCTTACAAGAGGTCAAAGTAAAGGGCATTAAACTTTCTAGAAGTGTTCCTTTGTTTTTCTAGCAACTACTAACCCAAATCTCTCTTTGCCAGAGCAGAGGGAAAGTTCAGTCAGCTTAACTTCTTCAGGAATTTGAATAGAAATTAATGTTCATAAAAACAATTATTAAAACTAATGAACCTTTAATTTTTTTAACATCTGACACATGTAGAAGTTAGATACTTGTTAATACCAAAAGCCACCCCCACCCAAATTTCGAAACAAACTCTAACCTGTAACTTGAAGTCATGTTCAATTTAGCATAATAAAGAGTATTTATAGGATGGTAACAATTACAAGCAACCTAAAATAAAAGCATAAACATACTAAGTAGGCATCTTCCATCTGAAGATCTCTATCAAGTTTATGCAGTTTAGAAGTCATGTTATCTCTGTTTAAAAGCCTGCTTTTTGCCACTGCCATTATTTCCCAGTTTTTCTATAGGTAGATAGAAATCATTAATCTGTCTACTCAATCCAAAAATACACTTAGCACCTCTTTGAAGGTTTTTAACTAAATTGTAGTGGTGAAAGCCCTTCTTTTAAGGAATAGCATCAGAGTTACAACAAAATTTATCTTAAGATAATGAACTCATACAGGGCTCTGCCTATATGCATTGTACTTTTAAAAAATAAACTCAGCAGTTTTCAATCTGTAGTTGTAGGAAAAGTACTGAAGAAGGAAGGTGTTTTAATTCATTTATTAAGTATTTAAATTATGTATTGCTACAATTATTTTTTTGGCAGAAACACTTAGATTTAATAAATCCCAGAACCTCAACCAAGCACACTGATGATACCTTTTACAGGGTTCAGTACCAGGGATATTAGTATCCTTAATAAAAACTGAGGGAAATAATCTCCTGCCTCTACAAAGACTGGCAGCTGCAGTTTCAGGACTGGTTTAAGCAGAGTTTCTGAAGGACAATCCAAATAGAGGCTGTAGGCAAAGCAGCTGTCCTGCTCTGTCTCCTCACCTTAGCTGCAAATTTTTACTCTTTGCTCTTCCAGTGAGTCAGATTAGACAAACCAGGTGAAAAAGTAGACTTTTTGTGGAAAGTGGGGTTGTGGGGTTTTTTGGTTTGTTTTTGTTTGTTTGTTTGTTTGGTGTTTTGGTTTTGGTTTGGTTTGGTGTTTTGGTTTGGTTTTTTTTATATATATACTAACTAGTTTTAGGCTGGATCAAATGATCAGACCACAGGGCAGTGCAATGCACATTAGCACTGCTAAGATAAGCAAAGGACCCAGAACCCACATCCAGGACCTACCAAATTCAGCAAGAGATTATAATGTGTTTGGTTTAAAGAGATTATTAAACTCCAGCCTGACAGTTATAGTGCTCAAGTTTTGAACACACGTACACAGAAATAAAAGTCTTCACCTGACACTAAAGTGATCTATAATTCAACTACCTATAGAAACACATTTAGTAAAGCATTAATTCACTTCCTACTGCTTAACTAACTAGGTTACTTATATAAGATTCTTTGCCAAGGCATAAATGGGTAATCACTGGACTGCATATTCACAGGACTGTTGGTCCGTTTTTACAAGAATGACATAACTAATTTAGAAGTTTGAAGTTCAATTTCATTCACTCTTTATAGCTTTCAACATATAAAAATAACTGTTCTGTTAAGAAATTAAAAAAACATAAGTTGCAGGATAACTTTGACCTCATACGATGCAAATCGCACCATTTATTTTACAACAAAAAGGTAGAAAGGCCTGGCTCATTTAGTTCTGATGAACAAAAACTGTGGATACCTGTATAAAAATATCAACTATGGACAACACTGGCAACAAAAAAAGGTACTTAAGCTAGAAGACAGTGCCAGGACAAAATAAAACATGCATAACAAGACGGGAATATAATTAGGTTGAAAGCTAGACACCTGATCAGGGTATGGAGCTCAGGAACAGCTTTCTAATTGAACCAATAAAGGTAAAACACTAACTGAGCCTAGGAATTTTATATTACTATGTAAACATTTATAATATAGAAACACATTCAAAAATAGAACAGAAACATTAAGAAGTTATTTGAATGAACTTGTTCTTGGTTGATAATTAAAAAGGATCACGATATAATATTGAACTATATTAAAGCATATTACTTTGGGGAGGTTAGCACCTCAGGCAAAAAATAAATACAGGTAATTAAGCAAGAACTTTATAACCTGTAGGAAGAGGCTGCATAATAAGTAAGAAAGCAGGTATCTGCTGACAGGAATCTTGTATTTTAAGGGTAGCCATAATAAAAAGAAACTTACAAAGACAGATATTAATTTCTGAGAGTTGACACCACTTTGAGCACCAACAATTGATAGCTTGTAAAAAGGCACAATAGGAGGGATATAAGAAATAGGTTTTATTATGTTGACTTGATTCATTTAACATGCAATAAACACAGCAAAAATACTAAACCAAGTTAACATCATGCAGTCAACATATAGTAATAGAAAAGGAGGCTGGCATGTACTTCTTTGGTTATGTAATTACACTTAAGAAATGAAACTTACTGTAACTCAGCTGAGGGTTTTTTTTTTCATATACTACATTAACATTTGCTGATACCCATTACATTTTCTTTTTTGAGTTACCTAACAAATTATTCTTCTTAAAATAATGACATGAGAATCAAAAAACAAATTGAAAGTATTAATATGAAGTTAATAGTATTTAAACATTCTTCTAGAACAAGGCAATGAATATTTTAATTGATGCAGCAAATGCAGTGGAATTGTATTATCCATGTGTCTTCAAAAGCTCACAATACTCAGTGGTGTTATAAAATGCAATCAGATTTCTCTAACACCAGTGCTGAGAAGAGGCATCAACAGCAAAGACAGCTTCTCTCTTTTTTTTTTTTTTTTTTTATGTCAAGAGCTAATGCAGCATAAATTGCAAAATGTTTCAAGCATCTTAAGAGAAATTCATTTTAAGAAAAAACACTTACCTGAAAGAAGAATCCATCATAGGTTTACATTTATTTCTATTGACTGTGTTCAGATTACTAGCAAGATTATGTGGTAAAAAGCTAGGAATTCCTACCAGGCAATCAGCAGATGCATATCCAGAAGACTGGCAGATTTGGTTAGTTCCATTTATCTGCAATGACTTTACTACACAATATTTTTCCACAGAAATAGGATTTTAGTACATAAGATGTGATGCCTTTATCAAGCCAAAACAATGTTGAAAAAAAATATGTCTGCAAACTTTGCCAATACAATACATCAATGCAGACTACAGACTCTGAGGTGTCAATCTGTGCAAGGAATTCTCTTGTGTCTTTTGCTCTTCCTGTCTCCTGGCTCCACAGGACACTTCTATGAGCTTACGTGCTTTGTCAAATCTGAAGCAATTTAAAGTATTATCTTCCTCCAGCCAGTACCTTACGTTCCGGTGGTCTAAGTTACTACATCCACACAAGATGGACAGAATGGACTATGCAGAGGGTCCACATCCACATTCAAAGGATGAAAGTGGTTGAAGATGACACAACTGACTGGGAAGCACTCCCTGTTAGCCCAGCTGTAGGGATGGTAGCAGCTCTAGGTGGTGGGACCAGACATGGAGCTCCATGTGGGAACACCTTCACCTGCTCCAGCAGCTGTTGGTGGTCCACAAGATAAGCAGAAAACAGGCAACTGGTGCTAGAATTAGCAAGAGTATTCCAGTTGACTCCATAATAATTCTGCTTTTTATGTGTGGTTATAATTACCTTAGGCACACACAGATCTAAATGTCTGAAATATTCCTATTTAAGAGAATATGAAAAGACTGAAAAGATAATATTTAGTACCCTAAGCATTTTTAAAGTAACAAGATTCAGAAGCCTTTCATTTTAGTTCAAGCCATACAATATCTCTTGGAAGGAATTAACAACTGGACTTTCTTCTGTATGTATGTGGTCTCTTTTCCAATAATGGAATAAAGACAAAAAAAGAACTATGTTGCATGGATTACTAGTCACAGTGTAAGGCTAGTACACACTAGCCATTTTACACCTTTAGATCAAAATCCATCTCTAATACCTCTCTATGTGAAAGCAAGCAAGAAAAATGAAACTGTTTCTATGAGTGTTTTTTAACTTGTTAAATATGAACGTTTTCTACTTGCTGCAAGAAGACATTACAAAATAGTAGAACTTGAGAATGTTCATGAAACCTTGCTGGAACTTTCCAGTCTCATCAGCTTTCGTATGAAAAAGTGTGCACTTTATCTTTACTAGGACTTTTTTTATGCACAATATATGCTTGGAAGGAAACATGCATCAACTATTTTAATTTAAAGATTGCTTTTTACCATATAAGCTTGTTAGGAAGCTCCAATTTAATCTGCTTATATCCACAAGATCCAGACTGGAAACCATGGAGAAAACCTGCCTTAAAAAAAAAAAGTATTTAACTTTTTGAACAGGAAACTATACTGTTGATGAATGAACTCCAGATACAGCTCAGAAGTTATGCCTGTAAACGAACAGTGCAAACCAAGCCTTTCATGCAATGATTATGTAAGCATCAGCACTGCAAGTCATACATCTTACATTTGGAGAAGGATCCATTTGCTCATACTTTGTATCTTCCTTCCCATTTGCTTCAGACTGTTGCAGTTGGTACGATCTGCCTTCAATGAAAGTAATATAGTCTTTGTAAGAGCATAACGGGCCTGCCAGGATACCCATGAAATTACAGTTGTAACTTAAATACTCCAGTAGACTTGGCATGCGTCTGTAATTCAAAGACAAGCAACTTGTGAGATGGAATGTGTCGTTCTACAGAATTTCCACAGTAGGAAAAGTCATACTCCATCTTATTGCTCAGTCTAACTGCAGCAAAAACCACATGTAGAAAAGCAGTAATCACAGCTTAAAACATTTTGCGCTTGGTATTTCTTTTCAATCCATACTGAGCATTCTCATACAGATCTCCTGAACTCTGGTGACTCCTTGCCCAATAGGGGTGTTTGACTGAAGCTGAACCAGGGGAAGGAAAAGGAAGGGTATGTCCTTAAGTGTTTGTTCAACTGTCTATGTTTTCTTTTTTTCCCTCAGTAACTGAAGCAGTAAACAAAGGTTTGTGTTAACTGTCAATAATTTCAATTAAGGTAAATGCCTCAAGTCAAGACTGTTTTGCCCAGGATAACACATTATTCAAGTCTCCTGAATGAAGAAAGGAGGAAAGGAAGTTAAACACTGAAAACCAGAACTAAACAAGCATGGTCCTTCACCAGCTACTTTTTATATGTAATAAACGTTAACTTAAGTCTCCTGTCTGATATAGCAAGAATTTGCATAGACTGCACAGAACTTAGAATATCTTTCTTAAATGAGTACAAAATCTACTCCTAGTGGTATTTTCCAGGAGAATATATGTCTTAATTAAGCTACAAATATAAAAAACATGGATATATTTTACAAAAGTTTGTAAACTCTGTATCTTGAACACGAACGGCAGCAATTTCACAGGGCACACAAAACACCAGCTTCTCCCAACCCCCAAAACTAGATTCTCAGAGAGGTCTGAAAGCCTACCTTACAGCCAAGCACCTCTGTGATGGAGTCAAATCTTCATTTTTCCGAAACATTCCTAGGGAAGAGGACAGGAAAAAGGAAAAATAAAAGAAAAGCTAAATCCCCACACATTAATTAGCAGTTTCTTTATTCAGTAGAGAAAGCTTCATGCTGCAATGTAACTACTTAAGTCCTGAAGTAATTTCAGAGGTATTAGGTGACATAACATTTTTGCTGGAGTTGGATCAAACAATTCTTACTGTTGACAAAATTACAAACTCTCATATCCTCAATTATATCCAACAGTGCCTAAACCTGAAATCACATGTAAGCATTAAGAATCCTTGTAGTAAGTGTTGACAAATACAATTCCCTTACATCCACTAATATTTCAAAGTCTGCAGGTTTTAAAGCCCTTTATTCCCAGTCCTGGAAACTGGACAAGCCTCAAACCCCTTTCAACATTGCAATAACCCAGGGACATTACACTAGTCATTGTACTTTTCATGAACACAGTCTGAGATGGATTTAAGCAATTTAAAACTGCCCCTCAATGGCACCTTCATGCTGCAAGTAAAGGTCGCAAACAAGGTCCAGTGAAGCAGGGACAACAGTAAAGGGTGCTTTTCAAGGTGCTTAAAAAGGCCTTTTTCATGAGCAGTAAGGAGTAGCCTCAACCCCTGCTAGCAGAAGGGGGCAGGCCAAGACTAAGTTTGGCAAGCAGACTGAATTTACCTTCTTGCCATATACAGCACTTCCTGGAATGCCAGTGGCCCATCCCTGAAAAACAGGCTTCAACTTTGTACTTCCATTAAAAAGCAAAAAAAATACAACCTTCAACACTTTAAATTATTATAAAATACTCTAATTCAGGAGCACAGAAGAAGCCGAGCTTCTTCCTTCAGACAGCCCTGGTTTATAGCAGCCAGCACTGCTTGCCAAAATGACCCCTTCAGTTCCTTCTCCACTGACGTTCACACGTGCATCCATTCCCTGGGATTCACATTTGAAAGTTTTCTTTGCCATCACAAGTATGAAAATAAAGTATTTTTATTAGCATAGATTACCAAGGGAAATTAAGTTTATAGAATCCCACTTCAATTACCTTCCTCCCTAGCAGTGCCTAAACCCAACAGCCAATCTCTAACCAAGTTTGATGAAAGAGTGGAAGTAATCTCAACATTAAATCCCGTTGTGCTTTATGAAAATAGGTGTCTCTATAGAAGCTTCTCCTCTACTTACGGAAAGTCTGCTTTCAACCCCACCCCTTGATGCCAGCAAATCCAGAGAAGAGAGCCTTCATCTTTAGTCCAAGCATAAGAAAAATTTTAACTAGAGTCAAAGTTTTTGGTTTGTTTTTTTTAGTTATCAAAATCACTCAGGCTTAAGATAAAAAATATTAGGGGGTGAGGGAGAAGTCAAACCACATTTAATTCTATGATTCATGGAAATACTTGTTATCTAAAGAGAACATAACTCTGTTGTCTTCATGACCTATGCACATTTAAAACTTAAAAACTGCACATTTAGTCTTCAGCAAAGCTGAGAATATAGAGGGTTGGCAACCTGACATCTCATCTCTTCCAATATGACCTGGAAAAATACCTTCCTCAGTCCTGATTTTTCCCAGTAGAAAGTCTTCTCCATTCATACCCCTCAAGGCAAGAAACCAAAGGGCAAAGCTGCACCCTCAAGTTCATGCAGGCACTTTCTCTTCCCCATCATTCTATTTTTCATCTTCTGCTTGGTGCTACAGCAAAGATTTCTACACTAACTGTCCTAGATACAGTACTGGAAACAATTCTCTTTTGTGGGAGAAGTATTGTGAAAGGTGTTTTAACCTTTAAGGCCATAAGAATACAATTCTCAGGTAGTGAAACTTTAAACTTCTTAACACAAACTTAACACAAAGACTCCTATAGAAACATACAGATGATTACTTTAGGGAAGTAGCCCATACAGGGCCTTCTGTCTCTCACAATGTATATACACTGCAAACTGACCAGAGCAGGAGCCTCCTTGGCTGTTATATTCCGTATGAGTATTTTATCCCTAATGCAGAAAGAGGAAGCAGGCACCAAGTAAGTCCAAATGAACTTGCATAAAGCCAGACTAACCAATAACCAAAAGTAGTTAGTCAAATGAAAGATTTCACATCATTTACATGGTACAAAAGAACAGGAAAAAACCTCACACCTTAAATAGAAATCTAACCACTGAAGTATGCCTTACACATTTGAAGGGGTGAGGAAGAAAGAATTGGCATATATAAAATGGGCTGAAGTTACATATGTGAGAAGCCTCTTATGGGATAAATAACCTGGTGAGCAATACACTTGCTGTCTCAAACACACCACATCCAAGTCAGCCTCCATTAATTTTTCGTTTCTCTATCTCACTAAGATTTCTCTCCAGCCAGCAGCTTCTTTTCAGGTCAGACCAGTGGCTTTTCCTGTATTTTTTTACGTCTTGTCAGAGCCTTGAAGGCCCATTTATCATCTGCATAGGACATAACAGGAAGGAAATCACTGATATCTGCCTCTATCATACTCTTGAAAGCTTTCAGGAAGCTACTGTTAACAATTTTGAACTCACAGAAAGTGCACATGGAAAAGGTGCTTTTACACTGATGCTTATATGAGATGAATTAATACATGTACATTCAATATTTCCCAGATAATGTATCTGCATATGGGAAGAGAGGCCTCATATGTCATAGCTGTTCCAAACCTACTACACGTTGGAGATGAAGAAACGTCACTTCAGCAGCACTCAAGAAGTTTAGTAATTTTTCTCTGGGGATTATGAGAATCGTTTCTCCTGTCCTAAAGCAGATGACTATTGCAATGGCTGCAGCTTTTAGTTGCTACAAAAATGGGTTTTTTGGAACACTTGTTAGAGAGGTGAAATCATATGGTCACTCAGCAACTGTAACTCAGTTTTCTCATCTGTCAAGTAGGAAAAACTCCTACGTTCCTTCATTGGTAAAAGGATTTTGTAAATAATCAGTAACAAAATTTATCCTCAATGGTCTAGATCATGACGAAGTTGCATCTTTTCATTACTCTTCAGGAGACCACATCCTAACGTTAAACTAAAAACACTAATATTCTGTCATATGCTTTATTAAGGCATATTTTGACAACTCTCACTGCAATAATGCGATGTTTACAACCCCGCTTTGCAGTTCATCTGCTTCAATACATCCACCTTCGTATTTGCAAGAAATCTGACCAATCAATAACTCACTGATAATGCTTAGACAAAAGACTATATTACATTAATAAGACTTAAACATGGACATCATATCGCAGACTCTACTGTAATGTATGCTGTAATTAAAAGTATTTTAAGACCTGAAGAAGACAGAGATACTAACAATTTTAGTTGTTACTAGCATATTGGCAGCAACAACAGCAAACAAGACACAGATGCCAGATGAGTAAAATTACAAAGAAACTACAAAAAGCAAGAAAAATCAGAAGTCTTGGTATCCAGAGAGCCATGCAATCAAAGGCCCAAAACAACACCTGAAGACTTAGAAGAGTAATATAATTCCTTTAAACACTAATGACATGTACTGTAATTAAGGTGATTTGGTAACTGATACCGGAACAATAATGACCATGCTGTCACTATCACAAGAGGGAGTATTTAAAGAAAAAGGAATGCAGAAATCTAGACCAAGAGAGCATCAATTACCAAAAATATAAGATACAAATACACACCCACATACCACCACACCATGGCAGTTTTACTGACATAACTAACAGACAAATCAGAAAATAACATTCTTGGTTTCACAGCTGAAACTTTTTTGCTGTAATACCAGCATTTATAAAGTAGAGTTGGGTCATGATGACCTATCAAAAATCCTTAAGAGTAGTTAGTTCTACATATATAAGCAAAGATTTCTCTGTCTTGGGAGTTGTTCCATTTTCTCTTGCATGCTTTCACAACAGCAACCACCCAAATACACTTTTAAAATTACAAACAACAAACCGCCTATTTGAAATCAGAAAGGTGCATGCAGAATTCATGAGACCTTTATTTTCATACACAAAACAACATTCTTAGCTGACTGCCTCTCACTACAACAAAAAACCCACTGAATCACAAAAATAAGTTGGCCAAAACAGGGTGTGTTTCCTCTTACATGGGGTTACAAAGTGACACTTAGCAATTCAGCCTGTTAAGTCTGTTCTATTTGTAGGTATTTATTTAAAATAAATCTGAAACATCATATCTAATGTACAGCAATACATAAGCCATTCAACACCTCAGTACATCCATATTTCACCCCCTTAAGCCAGAGGAGACTGATACTAGAGTGGTATGCAAGCCTTTTAGAAAGATAGTCTTTCTGCTGAACATGGAAACTACTTGCCAAAAGGCAAAGAATCTAGTTAACTGAAAATAAAGAGCAAACCAACATGAAATTTACCTTCAAATCTGGAAAAGGAAAGGAAAGGGAAAGCATTGCCTGAAAAACCTTTCAAGCATACAGTGTAGTAACACAGTCTAATGAGGCAAGTAGCAAAAGGCAAATAATAAAGCCTTTGTTTCTTTTTCCTCATCTCCTTCCCATTTTCCATGTGTTAAATCTATCCAATGAAATCTCCTCGCAGGGGCTGTACTGGCTAGAGACTATATTTTCATTATTTTGTAAGGGAAAATAGGGTCTAACAGCCTATTTGGAAATCTTACAGCTTTGTAATTAGTACAACAGTAATATGAGGAAAAACAGGATAAAATAATCCAGTCATTGTCCTAACAGCCTGCAGTTGGAGCAAAGTAAAATACTGGTGCAAGACTAGCCCTTCACTGTATTTTGCCAATATATCATTCACACTAAAAGGCAAAGGTAAAATAAATTAAAAAGCTTTTTAGTTTCGTATTGACTGTATTCTTTATTTCCTTTAACTTCTCTCAGTAAATGCAGTGCCTTGCCAGAGCAGCATCAATGTCTATTGCTTTTAAAAATTGAAAGCACCAGATACATAAGAGGAAGTAATAACTAGGGGAAAAAAGCAGGCAGCATTCCAGGAAAAGCACTTTTAAAAATTAGCAACTGCAGAGCTGAAACTCAAGACATAAGAGATGTGAGAAGGGTACACACAGGAATAAAGAGGTTTGTTGGGTTTTAGGGATTTTTTTCGGTATGTTTTTATTATTATTATTTTGTGTGTGTTCAGAAAGCATGTGAGAAGCCCCTGGAAAACTAGAAGCAGCTGACTGAAAAGAAGAAAAGGTCTTTCCCAGCTTAAGCGATTCTAAGAGTGTTATGATTCTGGCTTCCTACCTGTATCTAGTCATACATTTTTAACAGACAAGTGCAAGACAGTAATATGAAGAAGTAATTTGGAAGAATTAGATTTCATGTTTAGTAGATGTATATTGCACTTAAAAATTAACTTTTTCCTTTAAATTTTTATTTATCATTCTAATTTAATTATGTTTGAATTAGAGAAAATATATAAAAACAGGGTTGGAAGAAGCTGTGAGTTTGTTTTTTTTTCCTTTTAAATATAAAGTATCAAGTCTAACATTCCCTGGTTTTGCTGGCTGAATCTCTTGGAGAGTCAAAAATATTGTGAGATCCAGAATTCCAATGAGTTATGAATATAAACATTTGAAGCAACTCTTTGTTTAAGATTCATTAAGTGCAAGCTGCCAAAGCACATACAGACTACTGAGGTTAGGTATGGATATGGATCGTTGCAGGAAAGATCTGAAATCTCAAGCAGAACTGCAGTAAAATGAGTGAAGCTCTGTGAGTATGAGTAGGTTATAAGCAAAAAAAGAGAGAATGCCATATGAACTTACCGTAAGATACAGAGTTAAGCAGTGACAGTATTTCTGTTCCTCTCCCCTGCTTAACATTTAGTACCTATAAATATAATTGCAAAAGCTTCTCTACTTCCCACCATCTCTTAGAAATCTATCCTGCAAGTATAATCTTCCATTTTATAGTCCTTCTAAACTGCACCTGTAGACAAGCCCCTTCCTTCCAGAAGAACTGCAACACACCTTTCCTTCTCCAAAATTTGCTAGTTTTAAATTTGATGGGGAAAAAAATCTACACCATACAGGACACACATGAGGCAAAAACATGTTAAACCTGATACGGAATGTTGCTAAAGAAATTTCAGAAAAACAGGTGACTTGATCCAGGTGTCTGGCGTTGCACTCCCAAACCTTCAACTGACAGATGTAGCTCCAACTGATATAAGCTAATTCGCTAGGTTTATTGGATGATACTTTCAAACATTGAAATGAAAATTACTCCTTTTAATTTTAATGTACCTAAAAATCCAGATGCCCTACCCAAAAAAGCCAACATTAGGGTTCATTTTTGTCACAACTAGGGCCCACTTAAATGATGGATAAATCTGACAAAAGACAGGATCATAATTACATATTCTCCCTGTTCACACTGACATGCTGGCAAGTGTAATTATGATACTAAACAAAATGAAACATATACAAAGGTTCAATAAAAATCAGCATACATGGCACAAATTAAGGAGATATTAATGGCATTTTAAAACCAGAGGAGCTCAAAAACTGAAGTTATATGCCCTTTTTCTACCAACCTGTCAGTAACAGTGATTTCTGAATTTGGAAATTATTTAGCTTACTCTCAGGATCAATATTCCAGCCCCAAAACATGGCAGTGGTCTTTGGTCACTGGCCCCAGAAGTATCACTGATCTTCTGATAGGGAGTATCTTCTGCACAACATAAGCATTTTCAGAGCTTTTATACTGTCTGAGCAACATTTCTTGGTACTTCCATTAGTAAGTAAGCATCAAAAGAATCAATTGCAACATAAAAATATATTTTGACCTAAAACACAAACTGGACTAAAATATCCTTTAATTTATTTTATATGAAAAATTAAACACAGTTTAAAGAAATCTTACCATCATGAATCTCAAACGCCAAACTAGTGATCTTCTGTGTAATTATCATCATTGGACTGTAACAAAAAAAGGAGGAAGAAAGAATAATTTCAAAAAAAGTTCAAGATTTTTTTCACATTAAAATATATCAGTTGAACAGTACTATATTTAGATATGCAGACCACTTCCACTGCTTCTGCTAACACCTGGTCCTATGCTTAATTTTTCCATCTTGCATTATTATTTGTTTCAAGTAAACACATCTGGCAAAACAAAACCCAGCCTAATTATTCTGGCTCCCACAGAGTCCAGTTTGGTTTGAATTTGGTACACTTGAGCAGATCTTACACTGTTCAAAAGATATTCTTTCTTAGCTAAGGAAGTCAGCTTTATACTGAGAAATTACATCATCTTTGTAGCATCTAAGAGTTTTTGACTGATGTAAATCCCAGCACTGCTAACCCCCTGACTGGGGGATTAGGGAATGGGGGAGAGCATCAGACAGGCTACCAAAATTTGGAAATTTAACTTCAAAATCAGATCTCAAAAATATATCAGGGACTGTGTCTGAGCTAGAAACAAAGAAAAACAAAAACCAATTAACAAATAAAAACCACACAACCAAAAAAACAAACAACAACCATAAATCAAACAAAAAACACCAAACAAACATCACACAACAAAAAAAACAAAACAAAACAAAAAACACAAACTCCTTCTGTTTTTAATAGTGTAGGATGGGGCCATAGCTTTTTTCAAGCCTTTCAAATGCACTTGGCCTTTTTACAACATATTCAAATTTGCACAGAAACACAAATCCAAGAGCAATGAAGTCCTCCTTCACTGACAGGACTTCATCAGTATTTTGCCAGATGGCTCAGTCTGACAATTTTATTATTTTTTTTTGGTTGTAGTTATTTCAAATCACTCAATATTCCCAGTCCTCAAAATGCAATCTGTGAAAAAGTTGTTTTCTACTATATTATTAGTGCCCCAAAATCCTGATGTTAAGACTAGAGTGACAGACAAGGGTCAGCAAGAAAAATCAGAAGAACAGACAGTCTGGAAAATCCCTCATATCTCTTTCTAGCATTTATGCTGTAGACCTGCCTGGTGCTGGCAGAAATACTCAATTGATTCTCAACATAATAGGATTTAGGTGGATATGTGACAGAATGGAACCTGCCTGGTGAAAGGATGGAGCCCAGGAGGAGCTCAGTCAGAGCTCACATTAATTCTAGCTGATACATCTGACATTGTTATCACAGCAAACTCTGATTTAAAAAAAAAATAAATAATTTTTTATTTTCTTCTCAAGTGGCTATTCAGTATGTTCTGAGATTTGGCTGAGGTGCAACAATCTAGAGAGTAAAAGAGGAAAAGTCCTTCCTGGAACAGTGAAGCTGTGAACCAGGATTTTAAGCACCCCTTTTAGGTGCTGGCAGAGAAGCAGAGGAAGCCATGGAAAGTTCACTGGCAGCTGGGATCTGTTAGTAATGAAGCCAGGAACACATAGCTCTGAATAAGCAATTGCACCTCTAGCATAAGGTCTCCTCAGCTTTCTCCACTGCCAGTGCACTGATTTCCTCATTTCAGATACTCTGGGATCAGGCACCTGAGATAGGCATGGTGTGCTAGGAGAAGTATCTAGATAAACAGACATTGAAAGCTCTTTTGTGGCTAACCACTATGTGAATCCATGCCAACAGCTTTGCAAGAGCTTGTTGGTGCTACGGTTCAACAGCTGGTTAGGCAGTTATTTTTTTTTCCCCTTGAGCTTACAGTCTTCTCCTGGAACTATAAAAAAATGGCAGAAAATAGCCCCTTTGGTTCATTTTATTTCTCCTCCTGTTTTGGAAGTAATCTCTGTCTCAGACCTAAGGGAGCAGACCATAGATTAGTTTTGTCTGGAAAAGACCTTTAAGATCATCAAGTCCAACCAAGGCAGTAAATGTGAGATTTAACGTGATATGCACACATCAAGCTCCCAAACAGGTGCATGAAAGGATGGTTTAAATCAGGCAGTTCAAATGTACAATCACAGAATCGGATTTAGGCTTCTGCTCCGTTCTATCCAGAACACAAATCTCATCAATCTTTGGACATGTTTAGACCTAGCAGGAATATTTGAGCTAACACCAAACCAACAGAGCCTCTCTCCTTAGCTTTCCCCTTCTGGAACATCTAACATAAAACCAAAAAAGAAAGAAGATAAAAGCTAAATTCCATAAAACATTCAAATTTTCCTCACAAAGTGCCGTCAGACTGTGCGAGGCATGCAAGCATATCAGATAAAATTTAAGTTTGATCATGTTTCATGGATAGTAACAGAGAAAAAAGCAAAAGCAAAAAATTCCCACAGCTACTGAATCCTTCATATACTTCAGAAAGGAACCAGGGATATCAGATAACACATCTGTGGTTCTAATAGACAACTGTTCCCAAAGTTGTGAATTTGCACAATTAAAGCATAGGTAGATATACACTTTGTATGTGTGCTAACATGCACAAACACAAGAAACTTTCTCCCCAAATTTAAAAGGCTAACACACAGAACTTGTGGGGGGAAAACAAAACAAAAAAGGAACAGACACAGTATTTAGGAAGACAAGATGGAAAAATTATTTTTTTCCTTACCCAGAAAAATCAGCGGAATACTGTCCATAATCAAAGATATAAACTCTAGTAATTTGGCACACAGTGAGGTATCCCAAAGCAAAAACAAAGCAATACCTGGAAAGCAAATGAAAAAAGAAAGCTTTTGAATTAAAAATCATAAGCATTTCTCTATTGAACAAACTACCTTTTAAGTAGAGTTTAGTCTCCAGTTACTTCTAGTAAATATTGTATAACTGGCCTGTGCAATTACACCTTCATTCTGACTGGTAATATTTATCCTATGCAAGCATATAGATTTTTATTTTTTTTTTTAAATTGTGCAGTACAAACTTAAAAATTCTATTGTCTTTAGCCAAAATCCTTGCTCATGTAAAAAAGCACAGGATTTATCATTTCAAGCGCCACTGTAAAAACTGGAAGTGCTATAAAGAGGAAATCAATCTGTTCAGTGCTTTTTTTTTTCCTCATTTCAAAGTAACCTTTTGCCTATATAAGCACAGAAATTTTGCAAATTATACATCAAACATAATTTTCCTGGAATAGATTTCTATACATGCAAAATTTAACATCACAAATCCCACTACTGCAGTTTTCAAAGCAACTGGAAAAAGCAATTACTTTTCAAATACACACATTAAAACATATGAGTGAAAAAGGTCTTTATGCCTCCTGCTAAAGCTGATCTTCCACAAATGTAAGAAAAACAAGAACCACCTTACAGAAGTATTATAAATTTAAATTTCACCTATCATTTTTTCAGATCAGGGTTGGGTGTTTTTTAAATTTTTTTAATTTTTTTTTTAAAGATATACAACAATATACTAACGAGAATTGATTTGTCAATTCACCTCAAAATCTGCAAGATTATTCTTTGCTGTCAAGAAGGCTGGTTACATGGAATTTCCCCATGAGAGCCTCCTCAGACATTCTTTGCGCATTCAAGTGTTTCATAAAAATTGCATTCCTCTAAGATGAATTGTAGTGATAGTCAATGTTACCCCAGCTCGACACATATGAGGAAATTGAGAAATAAAGAGATTACATTGATCTGAATACCCAAAAGAGGAGATGCAAGGCCAATTCTTGGACAAAAATGTCTTTTTTAAAGTTTACAGAAAGGACATCACCAGTAAATTTCAGTCATACACACACAAGTGCTCAGTACTTCTACAGATGTCCTGACTTTAGGAACACAGATTGAGGCAGCCAGGTTACCTGAGTCTGGAACAGTGAAATGCATAGGACAGTCCAAAGGTTACTTCTTCTCTTGCAGGTTCCTATGACTTAAGTACCTTCTAACTTCTACAAGTTAACTTTCTACAATTAAATGACTGGCCTAGTAGATGAAGAGACAGCAGAAGATATTGTCTGCCTGACTTCAGAAAAACTTTTGATGCCAAACAGCCTCATAAAGAAGCTGATACATGTGGGCTGGATGAACACACAGTCAACTGGACTGAAAACTGGCTGAACAGCCACGCCCGGAAGGTGGTGATCAGTGGCACAAAGTTGAGGTGGAGGCCAGGAACTAGCAGTGTACCCCAGAGATCAATACTGGGTCCGATTCTCTTTAACATATTCCTTAGTCATCTAGATGATGGGGTAGAGTGTAGTGTATGAAGTCTGTTAGGAGGAGTGGCTGGTATGCCAGAAGTTCTTGCTACCACCCACAGGGACCTCAGCAGGTTGAAGAAACGGCCTGACATGAACCACAAGAGGAACTGCAAAGTTCTGCACCTGGGGAACAACTCCACGCACCATTATATACCGGTAGCCACCCAGCTGGAAAGTAACTTGGCAAAAAGACCCGCGTGTCCTGGTGGACACCTAGCTGAACATAAGCCAGCAATGTGCCCTTGCAGTAAAGAAGGCACAGGGGAAGGACAAAGCTTTCCCAACTCTTTCAAGGAGAAAACATCATTTGCTACAACACTTGAGCAAGAGCCCTACTGGCACATTGCCTTGAGGAAAGCCAGAAACATCTACTAGATGCAGCACATGCAACCCTGCCAATAACCTCTTCAAAATTAAAACCAAACTTTAGTAAGAAGTCTAGTTAGAAAGAACAGCAACAAAATTAGCACATCCTTTATTACCTTCATATTTATACATTTCTCTGGTTTTGGTATCTGCTGACCAACATGCCAGCCACTTGAGTACTTCCAAATATGCTTTGAAGTAGATTTTAGTCATCATGGCTGACATGGTGCTATTTATTGCAATGTTCAGTTAATATCTATGCTGCCGTTACAGTCCACAAATGGAAGAAAAAAAAAATCAAACAAACACCTTAAACTTCTTGCTGAGATTTCAGATTCCATTTTACAATATAAAACAAAAGCTGCCAGAGCAGTGAAGCTTGCTATGGTGCATTCATCAAACACAATTATGAATTTTAACTATCTTCAAAATACGTCAGCCAAAAGGCACCAAGTTACACACAGCTTGGAAGACTTCAATTTTTTTAACTGATGAGGAAAACACAAGAACTACCCTATATCATTATTTCTTCATAGAATAATAAGAATCATATAGTTGTCAAGGTTGGAAAAGACCTTCAAGATCATCAAGTCCAACCATCCACCCTACAACCCCTAACCACTGAACCATTTTATGGAACACCATGTCTGCCCCTTTTTTTAACATCTCCAGGGATGGTGCCTCCATCATCTCCCTGGGAAGCCTATCCAAGCATTTTTTGTCAAGTAACATTAATCAACATAAATGTTAGGGCATTTTTACCTGCATGTATAAAAAGCCAAAAAGATTCTTTATCTCTCTATGTATATAGATATATACAAACACACAGATATACAGGTTTCAGGTCTTTCACATTACATGAACCTTCTTTTCATTTCCGAACACCCTTATGAAATTTGATACACATTTTTATTCACACTTTCTACTGCTGAAATGAAGTAGCTGCATTAAATAGACCTCTGAAGCACCATTTCTGCTAACACAGAGAACCTCATCAATGCCATCCATCCCTGTACTACCCCCTCTGTTTTTATCGTCCTTGTAAGTGTTTAGCAGAGCCAGCAGAACATTCACACCAGTGCTGCTTCTCTACTTCAAGGCAAAGTAGTCTGGTTTTGTTTGTACAGTTTAGTTATTATTTTTTTTTCCCCTACAGGGAAAGCCTTTCTATCCAGTTTTGCCTTAGAAATTAATTCCATGTGATACACCTACTATCTTGCCCACCATGTCATCTATAACAAAGAAGGACATAAAGACAGGACCAGTGGCAGAACTAAGTCAGGTGAAGTGTCCATCTATAAGCCAGGATCCAGCAATGGGTTCCTTCCCAAAGCACCAGCTAAAACCCAGACAAGCATGAAAGCAGATGAGCAGAAGCATAGAAGCCAGTTCCCAATGTTCTCCCAGACTCAAACCATCAGCACATTAAAGACCTGGATTCAAACATGGCACTCACGTATTTAATAACCCTGAGAACACTACTCCTATACCACCTTTTTGCTCCAAAGCACACTCTTATCTTTACCACCCTCTGTTCTTCCAAATACACTTGAGAAAGGGCTGTTAAATTTCTACATTTTCAGCATAACTATGTACAAATTAGACAGTATGGATTAAGCCAGCAGAACCTGCTTGTAGAAATCTTCCACAGCTTTATATTATGTGGTTTAACAGTAGAACCCCCAGCTTTTACTTGTGTCCCTCAGAAATGTTGGGTTGCTGGATAAGGAAGAAAAAGAACACTCATAGGTTAGCTCTAGAGCTTTGTATCCACTGAGAGGCAACTCAGTCTGCAGACAGGCCTAGGCTAACCATAACATACATTAACTGATTTTATTTGCATAAACAGGGATGAGAGTTGCATTTTTGTTTGATTTTACACTTTTGGGGGACTCAGCACTTTATTTATAAAATATTTGGTCAAGTACCTACCATATGTATTTCTGTTTGTACAAAATGCAGTAAAAATAGAACTGCAACCTTGACAAAGGCATACTCTGAGCTTCTGTTATTTTAGGCTCTTTCCATGCAGTGGAAGGACAACAGCACAGTATGCTATTTTGCTGGAATAAAGTTAAATAAAGCAGAAACACAGGGCACTTTTTCACCAGCTAGCTGGCATGCACTATGGAGTCAGTCTTGAAATAAAAGTTCCATGTCCAGTCAAAACCCACTCCTTTTATTATGCTAAGAAATAATATCATTTTAAACATTAAACTGCTTTGATTTTAGAAAAGGTGACAGAACAGCATTCAAGTTTTCACATGCTCTGTACTGAAAGCTGATGCCTGGGTTGGCTTGTTTGTTTTTCCTAGTGCTTGTGCCAACATAAAAACCCTAAAAAAATTAAATTATTGCCTCTAGGGACAGAACTGAATTCTTAACAAAATGCAGATACATTACTTGTTTTAATTCTCATGAGCATAATTACTTCTACTTGTTCACATAGAGAAATTCAGCTCTATGCAGTTAGAACATACAGTATTTGTTTGCAAAACTTCAGGGGGAAAAATGTAAGTCAAGCAAAAAGGTTCCAAGTGCCAAAGATAACTATCTAATTCTGTAATCATCAAGTATGAGTCAATACAAATATTTCTTAGAATCAGCTTAGTTTTGACTGTCTAATACTCACAAGGTAAGCTAGCTTGCCACAACCTCCTGCTTGTTACACTACGAGATTCCTATCTATACAATACTTGTTAGAACTGTGGATGCACTATTGTCATACGTCATTGGTATTACTTAGAAAACAGATCAGTTTTAGGACATAACCAGTTACAAACTCAAAGTATATGGCCCTAACCAAGTCGAGATCCTCTCTGTATTTCAAGAAACTACCCTAAAATGTGAGCAATATTAGTCCTTTAGAGGAAATTGGAAGCCTTCTGATCTACACACTAGTCTGTCCCTTCTGATTACTTCAAGCAGAGACCCAAAATCCACTTAAAAAAAAAAAAGACTATGAGTACATCTCCACAGAAGGAAAAAAAAAAAAAAAAAGAAGAGAAAAAAAAGAGGAAAAAAAAGAGAAAAGAAGAAAATAAAAAAGGGGAGGAAAAGGAAAAAAAAAAAAAAGCAAAAAAAAAAGCTATCCCAGGCCACTGGTTTCCTGCATACAACCAGGCACACAAAGC